CATTCTCTACCCTGAAAGTTTCTTTTCTCTAAAGGTCTTTTCTGTGCTGCTTCTAATGTCCACTTCAAGACTTTGCTCTGTTGTTAGGGTGTCTGAAATACTGCTGAGTTGTGCAAGGTGTGGAGCAACGTGAGAGCTCGTTGCATGTCTACCGCCAAATTGCTCAACACTTAGAGTCTTGCTCTGCCTTGTCAGGGCTAACAATCAGACTGGCAGCATTTACTGTATTAAGTACTGCTGATTTTCTTTTAGCACTTGTTGTCCTTTCGTCATATATATAATACCAAATTTATGGCCACACTGTAAAGAAGTTGCTACAAGGGAAAGCAGGTCGATAATATGCTTCCAAAATGACCTCAGCTGACAGCCGCTAGCCACGTTTTTTTATTGACCACAAAACAAGAAATCGCATTAGGGAGCTATGTTAGTACCATTTAAAAAAAAAAAAAAAAAAAAGATATTATTATTGTACTCTTTCAGCCAAATAGTAACCACAGTAACCTTAGGGGCATTCTATTAATTTTCCCAAGGCACTGGAAAAGACAACCTAAAGGAGTAATAGTAGTCAGGTGACTGACAGGTGAATTTTGTACTCAGTTCAGGGCTGTCACTAAAAATGTTGCACAGCACCGAAACTTAGGTCAATAATGCAACATAGGCTGCAGTTTGTCTGTAGTAGATCTTGTCTAAAGAACAGCAGGATTTTGCAAATGCAGAGTTTTTGGCACAGCAGTAAGGTTATATTTTGTATCAGAACCTGAACGCAACGGGACTGACTTTTGAACAACATTATTTTTAGCAAAATGCATCTTTGTACACTTCTCCTGTACTTTGTCAGCTCTCTTTGAGGACAAATGTAGTCAGCTTGGAAATGATTTCAAGACCTAACAAAAATAGCTTTTGGCTTCCCGCCTTGTGTGTCTGATATAGATAGTCGTTTTCCTGAAGCTCTATTGGGGAGAAAAGTCAGGATGAATGTAATAATGTATAGACGTACATACACTGTAGCAGACCAAAAAAACCCCAAACCATTGAGAACGGGAAGAATTGCTCTGTTCATTTCAGCTCAGTGCCTCAAACGAAGCTTTAGTGTGTGGCTGGTTTTGAGCTTAAAACTCGAAACAATTGAGTAACTCTTTGAAACATCTGCTGTTGCCAGTGCTGCTAATTGAAAGAGCAAGCTCACCCCACATCAATAGTTTCTGCTATAATGTTTGGCTTTTTCTTTTGAGTTTTGAGAAACCAGAGGGAGGAGAGCATCAAGTCCACGTCGCCAAGCATCCGTTCTCCCCCTCTGCACTCACGTGCTCTTTGAGATTCGAAGAATCAGTAAGAACTTCCTCATTATCCCACCTGCCAAATCAAATGGAAAAAGAAATGGTTGTTACCTAAGATTAAAAAAAATAAAAATAAGTACGGTTCTTGGAGGCTTTCAGAGCAAGTTGGAAAATTGTAAATGCCAAAAGCAACGCTCAGAAGAAAAATCCTGCCATTTAAAGTTGTGAGTCAAAATTTGTCAGGGTCAAGATAGGCTGCCATTGGGTTTTTTGCATTAGGTCCATAGTCACTATTCCTAGCCTTAGTTGTCTCTAGAAGTTGCATTGTGGTAGTTGTTGTAAATGGAATAAAATCGTCTGGTTTCTTCCTGACCTGCTTTCCTATTCCCTTTTATCAAAAATGCAGGTTTTCCAAGGAGAATTATTAAAATAGCTCATTTGCTTTAAGCAACCCAAGGAACTACGTTTCTGTGAGATAGGTCTGTAAGATATAAGCTGATAATTGACTTTTCCAGCAGTTGCAATATTATGCTCAAATATGACTCATCTAGAATTGGCTTTTAAAAAGTGTTTGGGTTCGTACTGTATAAATATACTGTATAAACCCACTGTATTTGGGTTTATACTGTGGGAACAAGGTGCTCTAAGAGTAATGACTGTATCTTAAAGCAGAATTGTGTGTGCTTGTCCAAAGTGCTTCAGCGAAAAGACCTGTTTTCAGAGCACTCCTAACAGAAATGAAGGACCCTGGAAGTAAAGTATCAAGCAAAGGGAAGATGTCCAGTAAGTCTGACATCAATGGGGGTTTTGCCATTCACTTCAAGGGCAGTTGGACTGTGGACTAAAATGATGAATGTGACAGTGTGCGGTTGGTTCAGTTCAAGGTAGAAGTCTAAGTTAGGATGACAGCGACAAAAACTAAAAACAGAGTGAAGTCTCAAAGAGGCTTTCCCTCACTGGGAGAAAGGAAGAGGTGTGATAGGGAGGCAGGCAAATAATCATTACATTGAAAATTTTAAGTTCAAGACATTGGCCATGCAGGGCAACGCTCCTACTGATGTCGAAGGAACTGATGGGATGATCATGACTCGGTGTAAGGCAACAGGAAGCATTACGATGGAGAGACAAATGGTCTTTTCTTAAGCACCTGCAGATATTGGCAATATTGGCAATGTATATTTAGAGATGGTAAAAATCAGTGCAAGTGCCAAAGGGTCAAATTCTCCAGTTTCTGTTCCCACCCAGGCCTAGCGAGAGCTTTGTCTGAGTTAAGCCAAAGGGGGTCTGAACCATTTTAGTATTTCCAGAACTGCACTTTAAGTCATCTGAATGAACATGGTACTGATGAACCAAAATAATTTCATTGACTTGAGCCTGATACATTGCAGGCAAGACCTGTGCAAACTACCACACACAGCTCTACCAAGGCACCCCAGCCTGTCTCAGTGCCACTTAGCTTTGTGGCTTTATTCATTGTTTTTCTTCCCCCTAGCTTTCTCTTTTGTATAGCAGAAAACCAAAGTTATTGCTTCTTTGGGATCAAACCAGGATTTTAATTTTAAAAAGCTTGGCTAATAGTGAGCTGGTCCCACCACACACTCCCATTCCCTCCTAGTTTCCCAGTCCACTGGAAGACTTGTCCAGTACACAGTTTCTAAACCTTTTCTATAGTGGGGGTTTTCATTGCTTTTAAAGAAAGGAGTACTGTTCCCCCTTCTAAAATCCCCCATGGTTATGAGTGACATAACATAATGTTGCTATTAACTAATCCTAGAAATCATTATATTTTAACTTTTCCAACCCCTTTTCCAGAGAAATTGAGTGCATTATCTAAGTCATTTGAAATGAGAGACTAATAAAACTGAGAGATGATCAATGCATTTTTCTTGCCAGGTTTTGGCCAGCAAATTATTATGATTTTATAACAGGCTTTCACTTTTCAGAAGAAGCCTCCCCATTTGATGTTAAATCATAGAGTTCCACTGAGCTACCCTGAATTCATTGTAGCTTCACATCTGGGCCTCCCTCTTTAACTTTTAGAGGTGCTGCACACCCATCCCTCCAGTTACAGTTGTGGGAAGCTAGAGGCAAACACATCAATATGGAACTAGACAATTTTCCTCCTTGCTTTAACTGCAACTGTTTCTTCCTACCCCCCATAAAAGAAATCTCCTATCCAAGTCATCAATGAAGTTTTAGTCCCCCAGGTGGCATATCCATGCTGACACTTTCAGAGGTGACAAAAACACATGCCTGTCTTGTAAGTGGTGGCTCTCAGTTGAAATCTATGGTTGTGGTGTTACTTTAAGCACAACATCGAGTCCATCGGCAAGCTGGAAAAGGGGCGGAAGCTGCAAACATTCCCTGTGTTTTTCAGCTGCACATATTGAGTTTACCTCTTTCTCATATTATTGTTGACTGGAACATGCTATAAAATGAAATCCGACTGCAACTTATCTTTCAACATTGGATTGTGTTAAAGCTCTTAAATAATCATGAGCTGTGACCTAAGTAAAGCAGTAAACAAAAATTATGCAGAGATGAGAGGCAATCAGGCAGTACAAATGTACAGAGTTCATAAACTACATAACATACCTGTGTCTGTACTTGCTATACTGAATGGGAGATGTCCATAGAGTGTATAATAAAAGTAGTGTCATAAGGTATGAAATTAATTTACCTAAGTAAATGGTGATATCCCAGAACAGAGCAGAAATTCAACCCAAGTGGGTTGTAAAGTCAGCTTTTAACTGAGCGGATACGATTGTAACAGCTCTCTAATTGGTTGCTCCATTTACCCAAGGTTAGTTTATCATCAGAAGTAAAGGTAGGTCTAGAAAATAACACCA